ATATGTGATTGTGTGGTTAGCCTTTTCTCTGTATTGTTGCAGTTTTAGCATGTGTGCTGCTGAAGTGAGCACGTGTTAGCCTTTCCTTTGAACACAAAAGGGTGGGGGATTTCTGAACCATTAAAAAAAATGTTACCTCACACAGTTCTTTCTATTTCTTGAAATAAAAACTCGAGATATAATTTACCTACCATCCAGTTAACTCATTTAAAGTATACGATTCACTGGTTTTTGGTATTTCACAGAGTTGTACAACCGTCATCATGATCAATTTTAGAACGGTTTTATCACTTCTAAAAAAAACCTTCATACCCATTAGCAGTCTCTCCCCCATTTTTCATTGCCTGGTCCTAGGCAATCTCTACTTTCTGCCTTTCTGCTTCTTTCGTTTAGCGTAATTTCCAGGTTCATCCATGTTGAGCATAAGTACTTCATTCTTTTTTACCGCCTCGTAATATTTCATTGTATAACACATTTTATGTACCCATTCATTAGTTGGTGGACATGTAGGTTGTTCCACCTTTTGGCTGTTATGAATAATGCTGCTATGAACATTAAGGTACAAGTTTTTGTGTGAACATACGTTTTAGAGCTATAGATCTAGGAGTGGAATTGCTGAGTCTAGTGATAACTATAGGCTTAAACTTTTTTTTTTTAAGATTTTATTTATTTATTCATGAGAGACACACAGAGAGAGAGAGGCAGACACAGGCAGAGGGAGAAGCAGGCTCCATGCAGGGAGCCCGACGCGAGACTCGATCCCAGGACTCTGGGATCACAGCCTGAGCCAAAGGCAGATGCTCAACCACTGAGCCACCCAGGTGCCCCTAGGCTTAACCTTTTGAGGAACTGCCAGGCTGTTTTCCACAGTGATTGGGCCAGTTTACATTTCAACCAGCAGTCTAGGAAGGTTCTGATTTTTTGATATCCTGGCCAACAACTTGTTTTTTTTTAATTACAGCTATCCTAGTGGGCATGAAGTAGGATCTGCTGGTTCTGACTGACATTTCCCTGATGACTAATGATGTTGAGAATCTTCTCCTATGCTTACTTATCTCAGTATAGTTTCAAGCTATGTAGCTCTTCTTATGAGTAATGTTAGACATCCTTCTATATGTTTAAGAAGTTTCTTTTTTTTAAAGATTTTTAAAAAATTTTTATTAATTTATGATAGTCACACACAGAGAGAGAGAGAGGCAGAGACATAGGCAGAGGGAGAAGCAGGTTCCATGCACCGGGAGCCTGACGTGGGATTCGATCCCCAGTCTCCAGGATCGTGCCCTGGGCCAAAGGCAGGTGCCAAACCGCTGCGCCACCCAGGGATCCCAAGAAATCTCTATATATTCTTTATTTGAGAGACAAAGAGAGAGACAGTGCACATAAGTGGAGAGAGGCAAGAGGGAGAGAATCTCAAGCAGACTCCTCACTGAGTGCCGAGCTGACAGGGTTGGGGGGCTCAATCTCAGGACCCCGAGATCAATACCTGAGCTGAACTCAAGTGTTGGATGCTTAACCCACTGAGCCACAAAGCATCTCGATATGTTCTTTTCTGTGAATTATTTATGGCCTTTGTTTTTCAATCCCAGGACCCTGGAATCATGACCCTAGCTGAAGGCAGATGCTTAACCCACTGAGCCACCTGGGTGCCCCAAAGAATCAGCTAATCAATTTATTAGTGCTACAATTTGTATGTGTTCTAATTCATTAATTTATTCTTTAGTAATTTCTTCCTCTTGCTTTTCGTAGGAATAATTCCCCATTCCCTATCTTTCTTGGGTTTTATGTTTTATTTACTTATTTTGTCCTTTACTAAGAAGCATTTTTGAATGTATGTTTTCCCTCTGAGAACTGGTTTAGCTGTATCCTGTGGCTTTTGATATATACGGTTTTCATTAACATTCTTGTCTAGATATTCTACAATTTTTTTCTTTTTTTTTCCCCTGTCTTCCTTTTTTTCCCTTTTTGAAACAAAAGAGAGTTTTAAGTATTCAAACAGTAAGATCTTTTTATTTCCTGGTTCTATTATTAATTTCTAGTTTTATTACTTTATGATTAGATAATGGGGTCTATTGATGAAGAAGCAGAAGGCACAGTGAGGACAAAGAACATGCTGACAGCCCTCAACCCCCATCCCATGGGATATGTGTGACATTCCTCAGGTCCTTCTGATGGCTCTAAAACTAAGGGAAGGGAAAAACAAATGGTTAACTGATAGAGATCACAGTCCTACAAGACATATGAGTCTCTAACACTAATGCAAGACATTAGTGATTTACAAGGAAAAAAGCATTCTTGTCAATAGTCTAACTTCCAGGGACCCATAACTCAATTTCTTGGAGCCCTAACATCACCCTCCCTTCCATGAGTGATGTGGGAAACTGAGGCAGAAGGGAAACTAAACAAAATTAAATTTCTTTATGACCTGCAGCCCACTGACAAGGACCTGAGATGGGCAGAATAGAACAATCCTCCAGGAAGTTCCCAACTGTCTTAATGTTAATTTCTTACTAGAAGGAAAAGCAACCTTATTTTGACAATATAGCCAGCCCTCCAGTATCCTGAGGGTCTTCCTTAACACATGGAGACACCTCCCTTTGTCCTTATCTCCCCAACTCCCAAGTATATAATCAGCCATTCCTCACAACCCCAGTTCTGCAGCTCTTTCTGCCCATGGGCCCTGTCCTTTTTAGGGGCTCCTGGGTGGCTCTCTTGGTTAAGCATTTGCCTTCCACTCAGGTCGTGATCTCAGGGTCTTGGGGCCCAGCGAGGAGTCTGCTCCTCCCCATGCTCTTGCTCTCTCTCTCAAACTTTTTTTTTTTTTTTTTTAAATCACCTTTTTGCACCAAAGATGTCTCAAGAATTCTTTCTTGGCTGTCAGGTCCTGACCTCACCAACATTCAAAAACTATGTCATCTATTATTCTCTTGGGAATTTATTGACATTTGCAGTGAATTCTTATTGAAGGATTATGAATAGTACCAAAATATGCCACCCCCAAATATGCCTTTTTAGCACATAAAGATCATTTTGAACTAAAGATAATTGAGAACCAGGAGAGTCAAAAAAAGCTCTTTACCTCCCTCAGTGGCCTAAAAATAAACTATAAATTTCTCCTTTAGTGAAAGAAACTTTCATTTTTAAGGAAATTGCCATTTGCAAGAAGTCTCCATACTGAGAAGAGAGCTACTTCTGGAGACATCTCTTATGACCTGGAGACTCTTAACTACGTAACACAACGATCTTATCTCCATCTCTCACACCTTCCTCAAATTTTCCCCCTACCCTAAAACTCCAAACCTCTTTTCCTCTTTTTTTTTAAGATTTTATTTATTTATTCATGAGAGACACAGATGCAGCCAGATAGAGAAGCAGACTCCCTACAAGGAGCCCAATGTGGGACTCAATCCCGAGATCCCGGGATCATGCCCTAAGCCGTAGGCAGACACTCAACCACTGAGCCATCCAGGTGTCCCTCTCTTTTCCTCTTGTAACCAAACCAACATTGAGTTCACTCTTTGGCGAGTCACAGATACACTTGGGGGGGGGGTTGTTGCACAAAGTCAACTTTATTTGCAGCAAATAAGGAGACAGCAGGGAAATAGCTTCCAAAGCCATGACTCCCCAGGAGAGGGTGAATGGGTACCTTTGGTTTAGGGTACCCATTAGGCTTTATTCATGTATGTTAATTGTTACATAGATATTCATAAGAGTTATGTCCTTTTTGTGACTCTCACAATCTTACTATTAAGTAACTCTTGTCTCATTCAATGATTTTTGCCCAGAATTCATCATTGTCTAGTATTAAGATCATGATGTCTGCTAACCTTTTACACTTTATTGGTAAAAACACCTTTTCTCATCCTTTTCAAACCTTCTCAATCGTTTTGTTGTATCAGTAGATTTTAGTGATCTAATATGAGTCTTTTTTAACAGGTGAATTTGGCCTATTTATTTGTACTTATTGATATGACAGATATGTTTGGGTCTGTTGTATTTGTTTTATTCTTGTGTTTGTGTTTTTAGTGATAATTTGGAAGGTTTGTATATCTATTCTAGTAGTTATCTTTTTAGTCTTGTTAAAAAATAATTTTCAGAAAAAAAGAAAATCTTGATTGTTGCCCAGATACAAGAAGGAACACGTGTTAACGATTTTATTTTACTCCTTGATTAGCTAGAGGACCAGACAGGTGTTATAACAGGTTCAGAGGAAAAGTTAAAGGAACACAAATTTAAATGAAATAAAGGATTGAATTACAAATAGAGGCAAAACTGGTTTTTCCAGGGGGCCTGGCTGGCTCGGCAGTTGTGCATGAGACTGAATCTCTGGGTCATGAGTTCAAGTCCTATATTGGGTGCGGAGCCTACCTAAAAATACAGAAATAGGTACATAAAGCAATGATTCAGGAAAAAAAAATTCCTAGTGCAACCCACACATATATCACAATCTTAAAAATAAATAAAGTTAAGCATTCTGAGGATCTAAATAAACCTCAAGGGATCCCTGGGTGGCTCAGCGGTTTAGCGCCTGCCTTTGGCCCAGAGCGCAATCCTGGAGATCCGGGATCGAATCCCACGTCGGGCATGGGGTGCATGGAGCCTGTTTCTCCCTCTGCCTGTGTCTCTGCCTCTCTCTCTCTCTCTGTGTGACTATCATAAATAAATAAAAATTAAAAAAATTAAAAAAATAAATCTCAAGTTTCTAAATAAAAAAACAAAACAAACAGACATAAAAACCCCTGGTTTTTCCAGAGGGGGGAAGGAAGTCCAAGGAAACTACCAAACAATACAGATTTGCATGGCTGTCATTTACCTGCCATTTACAAGAAGTGCAAAGTAGCTCAAAGACAATGAACAGGGCTCCAGCTGACCAGCCAGGGGGGTGTGCACCCTCCTGTGCATCACTGATTTTAAGTACATTTCTTTCTATAGTCTTAAAATTGTGCAAGACCCTTTTAAGCCTCTATTTTTTTAGACATATGTACCATTTTTTTTTTTTATAGGTTGAGCAGCTCATCCTGGCTTCAGCCCTTAAAGTCCCATGTCTTCGGAAAACCAGGACAGATGGTCACCCTAATTCTCTATTACAAGCAATGATGGAATTATTATATTTCCTCTTCCTTTTCTGAGGAAGCTCTTTCTAGATGAGTGGTATGCAACCTTGGCTATACCTGAAGAAGCTTTATAAAATCCTGATGCCAGGGCCTCATCCCTATATATTCTCATTTTATTTTTCTGGGATGCGGCTTACACATCTGGGAGTTTTAAAAGCTATGCAGATAATTCTAATGTTTCGCCGAGATTGGAAACCACCGGTATGTAAAGATATGGAACTTTCTCCGAGATGTACCGAGTGAAGAGCACAGCATGTGATATGCCGCCACTATGTGGAAGATGGAAAAGAAGAAGAAAATATTTATATATATGCATAAACTATCTTTGGAAGGAATTGTTAACATTGGTTACTGCCAGGGATGTCAGCTGGGGATTGGGAAGGAGACTTCTCACTGCCTACTTTTTGACCTTGTGAATGTGGTATCTATTTTTAACTGTTATTTTAAAAAAGTTCTACCTCTTTAATCTGAAAAAAGCATTTACTGTCCTGAAAAAGCAGATATATAATTAAATAGACAGTATGCTCTTTTATTTTTTAAAAGCTCCCAACACATACAAATTTAACACCATACAACGAAGAGCTATGCACAGAAAACATTTCCTGAGGAAGGAAATTTAAAACCTATTGCTACAGGGCAGCCCGGGTGGCTCAGCGGTTTAGAGCCACCTTCGGCCCAGGGCATGACCCTGGAGACCCGGGATTGAGTCCCATGTTGGGCTCCCTGTATGGAGCTTGCTTCTCCCTCTGCCTCTCTCTCTCTGTGTCTCTCATGAATAAATAAATAAAATCTTAAAAAAAAATAAAAAATAAGACCTATCACTACAGTATTACATTAATGTATCACATTACAAAATGAAAGTACATATATATATGCAGATGTGCATATGTCTATACACACAAACACATGAAACAAAGGGTGTTTCAGTGGGAGAGTTCTGACTTTGATTTCTTAAATCTTATCAAAATATATAAACCATATTCATTATTTTCATAACAAAAATAAAAAAAGAAACTTAATAATCATGTTTTTTTTATCTAAAGGCAGAGCTTTCAGTCCACTGGAAGGAATCAGCTTTGTTTTGCTGCTATAGGGGCTTTTGTTCTTCTTCCTTCCTTCCTGTGACATGCAGGATCCTTTCTCACATGAGGAAGCCCAACTGCTGAGGCTTTAAAATCAGCCCAACTGCCTCATGACAGCAGCTAGGGAAGGGCCACCACTGGAACTGGGCAGCTGCCGCTGGATGCCCAGGTAAACTTTACCAATTGCTTCCCACACCGTGAACCTTATGCTCAACTTGGGGGGTGGGGCAAAAGGTCAGCAGACAAGGCTCTGCCAACAAGGCCTGCCTGTCGTGGGGATGTCTGCACATAAACAGCCTGATCCTAACATTTATGGGGACAGGATGAGAGTATCAGGGGAAGCCCACGTACCGTATATATAAATTTTGAAAAGCTATAACTTAAGCTAACACACTGTTGACTGAAATAGTTATCTATTCTATCCCTTTCATAAATATAACTTCAAGCAATGATGGAATTATTATATTTCCTCTTCCTTTTCCTTCCTGGGCTGAAAAGACCAGGTTTGAATGTAGAATTTCCTCTTATTCCATGGGGTTCTGTGTTTGGACATAGCTGTGGTGGGCATCTTCTCATACGCCCCCTGCCCCCACCCCAACTTCTTGATATTTACACCCTTGTGTAATCCCCCCACTCTGGAGTATGGGTAAGACCCATCACAGGCTTCTAACCAACAGAATGTGGCAACTAGGATGGGATTTCACTCCCATGGCTAGGTGAAATAAAATAGTGACTTCTCTCTTGCTAGCGGACTGTCCCTTCCTGGCTTTGATGAAGCAAGTTGACATGCGAGAGGGGCCTACGTGACAAGCAAATGTGGGTGGCCTCCAGTTAAAAGCCACCAAGGAACCAAGGCCTGCAGTCCAGTGACCCTTGAGGAACTGAGAGTCAGCAGATCCTTCCCCAGTCAAGCCTTCAGATGAGACTCCAGCCCTGGACAACATCTTGTGATAGAAGCTGAGGACCCATTTAAGCTCTGCCCAGATTCCTAACCCACAAAACCGAGAGATGACAAACATGCTGTCTTAAGTCACTAAGTTTGTGGTAATGTTTACACAATAGAAAACTAATATAATTAATGGCTCTGTTGGAAGAGTTGGCCTTCAGCTGTGGCTCTCAGTTACCTATTTGTCTTCTCTTCCTACCGCCTCTTCGTCTTGAATTTTGAGGGACCTCATGTTCATTTTTGTAGATTCCCTGGTTTCATGTCAGTTCCATCATCCCCACTCTCTGCTTCCAGATAACCTTTGAGCCTAGAGGTATGTGCATAGCTGATGCTACCCATGAGAGCAATGCCATACTCGTGGGAGTACAGGCCAGGGGACAATGCCAATCAAGGCCCTGGAATGGCTCAAGGTCACTTTTGCAGGGAATTTCAGGGTCCTAGGTACTCAGAACATCCTAGGAGAGGGGCTTCGGGTCCTTGTCCCACCACCGCCCATCCAGGCTCTCTACTACACGGGAAAGGGCATGGCTGGAGAAGGGACACAGCAAGGCTTACCAAAGCACAGGCCAAGGCCAGGGGCCCTTCTTGCCCACTCTAAGGCAAGCCCTGCACTCATGAGAAGCACTGGCTGAGGTCCAGGTAGACTGGATGAGACTCTGAGAGCTGCCTGTCGAGCATAAATGAGCAGACTGCCACACATCTGAGGGAAATCTTCAAAGAGAGCTGTTGGTTGAGCTGGACCATAAAAGTGGGAGTGCTTAGGGAGCAGAAAAAATGGGAAGGCCTCCAGCAGAGTAGCCAGGACTGAGCTGTTGACTCCCAGTGGTACGGTTTCTTAGGGCAGAGTGATGAGTTTAGGCTCTAGAATCAGAGCATATCTGTCCAAATCCTGCCTCTGCACCCCTGGCCGTGTGACTTTAGTCAGATTCCCTAAACTCTCTGAATATCAGTTTCCTCATCTGTAAAACGGGGATAAAAATAGTGTCTATCCCATAAGTTGGTGGAGAGGATCGATACATGCAAAATGCCTGGTAAATGCTTCATGGGTACTGGCTATCATTAAGGAAACCGAAGTTCAAAGCAGATGAAAGATTATCTTTCTGCTCCTCGGTGCTACTCGCCTTGCCTCAGAGGTCACAGGAAGAAACGAGGAGGATTTTATTCAGTTCCTAGGACACTCATTTGTTCAAGAAGCATTTATGGTGTGGGGGCCAGGTGCAGGCCTCCCCAAGATGGGCCACTTTGGCATGAACAGTTTTGAGTTAAAAGCAGTCTAAACTCAGCAGATTCAGGAAAAGCTTTTTACCTCCCCCTTAACTGCCTGCTTGTACCAGGAAGAGAACTATTAATAGAGATTCCCCTTTACCTAAGAAACCTAACTGCATAATAGGGCGACTTTTGTTGTCCAAACGTCTGCTAATGGCCTTTCTCCCCTTTGCATCCTCAGACCCCCATCCCTCTCCTTAGCTCATATCGGCCTCATGCTGCCTCATCGTCTTTGGATTTTCCATGTCTGTGTGGATTTCCGTACATATGCTTGTAAATTTGATTTTCTACTGTTAATTTGTCTCATGTCAATTTGATTCTTAGTTCAGCTAGAAGGACCTAGACTGGAATAGGACATTTTTCCTCCTCAACAATAGGAACTGTCAGAGCATGGTCCTAACTCACACCTTCCTTCCTCAAACTCCATGACAGTCACGGCAGGGCAATGGGAGAGGGCAGCAGGAGTGAGGGGATCAGGGTCCCACGGTGCCTGTCCTTAACAGCTGTGTGCTGTTGGGCAAGGCACCTGGTCTCTGTTGTTGCATCTGTGAAGGGGTTACTGGTGTGCCTTCACGGCTCCACCTGCAGCCTCAGCATTACCTGGAGCCTGTTAGAACTGCAAAATCTCAAAACCTGGACCTACTGACTCAGAATCTTGGGCCAAGGCCTGAGAATTTGCATGTCTAACACACTCTCTAGGTAATTTTGCACTCACTGAAGTTGGAAGGTCCCTGGGGTGGACTATCAGAGGTCCTCATAGACCTGGCTCTTTAGACCCCCTCGGGCACTGATGCAGGAAGCCCCTTGGCCTCCACCAGACGCTCCACTTTCATAGGCACCTCTGGGGTTCTAAGGAAACAGGTGTTCTGCTTTTACTCAGTGGAGTTTAAAACTGCTTGCTGTGGTCTGAATGTTTGTGCTTCCCCAATTTGTAACTTGAAATTCCAACCCGCAAAGGTGATGCTATTAACAGGTGGCGCTTTTGGCAGGTGCTTAATTAAGTCTTGAGGGTGGAGCCCTCATGAATGGGTTTAGGGCCCTTATGAAAGAGGCACCAGAGAACTCCCCACCATCTTTGCCAAGAGAGGATAGAATGAGACGCTGGCAGCTTGGGAGAAGAGGGCCCTCACCCGACCATACTGGCACCCTGATCCCGGACTTCTAGCTTCCAGAACTGTGAGATAGAAATTTCTGTTGTTCTTAAGCCGTCTTAAGTGCTGTTTTGCTATAGAAGCCTGAAAGGACTAAGATACTGCTGGCCTGGGGGCAGGGCTGGCTATATGATTTGTGGGGCCCAGTGCAAAATGAAAATGCAGGGCCCTTTGTGCAAAAAGCAGGAGAAAAGCTTTTTTTCTTCTTCCTCTTGACTTCTCATGTGTTTAAAAATTTTCTATTTAATGTCATGGCCCTCCAGGCCTGGGGACGCTAGTCAGGTGGGTGTAGGCCCAGACCCCCACCCTCCCTGTGTTTGCACCCAGGCCCCTGCCTGCGGGCCTTGCAGCTTTCACGGAGACCTCTGAGCTCCGGTTGGAGCAAAAGTGATTGCATCTAGGAGAAAACAGAGCAGCCAGCAGCAACCTGGTACTTGGGGTGATTAACGAATGCATTTGGAAATTTCCTCCTGCCTTGGCCTCAGCCGGCACCTGAACTGTGGTTGGTGCAGCAGTACATTTCTGTATAATCTCTTTTGACAGCCAGGAGGAGGGTAAACCCACAAGTCTAACCCAATTACAGTAAAAGAGGGATCTGCTGCTCCCTGTTGACAAGGTCAACACAAGGGCAACCCAATTCAGGGCTAGAGTACTCCTGGACCAGCCAGCTGCCGGCACAGAAAGTACTTTCCTGTCCAGCAACTTGGCATATTTTTACCTCGTGACAAGTGGTGGCTGTCACTCCTGGGCTGTGTCAAGTAGGGTGATGTAAAGAGAGCCAAGTGCATTGGGCTCCCCGTACCCCCATAGCCAGGCTTGAGCTACACCAGCCCAGGAGGGGATGTACAGTGGTCACAGCCCTCCTCAGGGACTCAGAAAAACTGAGGTCTCTTCTGATTCTATCTCCTGGAGTGACGTCGGGTAGACATTCAGCCTCCCTGGGCCCCAGTATTCTCATCTGTAACATAAAGATATTCAATTTGATTATTTCCTGGTGCTGCCTCTGCCTTATTTGACATTCCATCTGGTTAAGGATTTAAAAGAGGTATTTCAGTGTGTGCGGTTAATTTTTTTTTTAAAGATTTTATTTATTTATTCATGAGAGACACAGAGAAAGAATGAGAGGCAGAGACACAGGCAGAGGAAGAAGCAGGCTCTTTGCGGTGAGGCCGATGTGGGACTCGACCCCAGGACTGCAGGATCATGCCCTGAGCTGAAGGCAGGTGCTCAACCCCTGAGCCAGGCGTCCCTGTGCAGTTAATTTTATAGGAAGAGCATGAAGAACACGGGGCAAAGTGAGCTATAAACCGTATGGTGGGTTGGTTACATCATGAAAGACTAAAATGTTATCAAAGAATTTGATGCTTCCTTTGTAGGCAAGGGAGTGGGGGACCATCGTAGGCACATAAAGAGGAAAGCGATATCTTCAGAGCTGAACCTGAGAAAGGTGAAGTAGGATGCCAGGTTTCAGAAGAATTGAGGATAAAGGAGTCAGGGAAGTGGCTACACACAGGTGTTTGCCCTTACCGGTATCAGATTGCCTTCCTGGGGCTGTCCATATGTCCCTCTCCCCAGCCCCCAGCAGGTTACGACAGTTCTTGTTTTCTTATAAACTAATTTTTATGTGGCATTGTCAGATCTCTATATTTTTGCCAAGTAAATGGGTGTGAATTGGCATTTCATTGTAATTTTTCTTTAAGATTTTATTTGAGAGAAAGCGTGGGGGCGAGTGAGAGAGCACAAGCAGGGGGAGCAGCAGAGGGAGAGGGAAAAGTGGGCTCCCCACTTATTGGGGAGCCCAACTGGGAGCCTGGGATCATGACCTGAGCTGAAGGTAGATGCTTAACCAATTGAGCCATCCACCCCCACCCCCTCATAAAATGGATTTATAGGATTTTTTTTTTTTTAATTTATAGGATTTTTTTAAAAAAGTAACCTCTATACCCAGTGCGGGTCTTGAAATCATGATCCCGAGATCAGAAGTTGTCTGCTCTACCGACTGAACCAGCCAGGTGCCCCATATTTATTGGATATTTATGCTTCTTTGTGAGTTTCTTGTTCATTCTTGCCTATTTTTCTTCTTTTATTTTTTATTTTTTAAAAAATATTTATTTATGAGACACAGAGAGGCAGAGACACATGCAGAGGGAGAAGCAGGCTCCACGTGGGGAGCCCAATGTGGGATTCGATCCCAGGTCTCCAGGATCAGCCCTGGGCTGAAGATGGTGCTAAACCACTGAGCCACCTGGCCTATCCTATTTTTTATTACTTTTTTAAAAGATTTTATTTATTTGAGATATCACAGAGGGAGAGGAAAGAGAGCACCAAAGGGGAGGGAGATGCAGACTCTATGCTGAGTGGAGAGCATGATGTGGGGCTCTGTCCCAGGACATGGGGATCATGACCCGAGGCAAAGACAGATGCTTAATCGACTGAGTCACCCAAGTGCCCCTCTTTATCCCCTCTCACTGATTCTGGATACCAGTCTTTGTTCTGTTCTGTACAAATGTATTTTCCCACTTTGTAGTGACTTTGGAAAAGCAATCAGATAAGTGTAATATTGAATTTATGAACATTTTAACTTATAGCTTGTTGATACCTTTTAAAGAAACCCTTCTCTGGAATCCTAAAGCTATTTTTTATTTTAAAAATGTAATGTTTTTCATTTTTAGGCCTTTACACATTGAACTTAGGTTTGTATATAATGTAGGTTAAGATCAGATTGGATCTAATTTTATCTTTTTCCATGTCATACCCAGTTGTCCCAGCA